AATGTGGAGACGCATCGGTGAGTTGGTCTGAAGCGCGTGGATGGCTCGTAGCTGCAGTGATTGTGTGTGTGTGTATTTGCGTTGGTTTTGTATTTTGCGTTGGTTTATCCACAGCTAGAAAACTACTATAGGACTACTGCTATACAATAGTAATCTACGTTTTTTGCTTGCTACTAAAAATCAACACCACTGTAGTACTTTTAAAAAAAAATCATTCACCTTTCACATAGTAGGCGTAGCCATTCTCTGCACACACCTTGATGGCGGCACAAAAGCTCCGATGCCAACAATTGCTTCAAGAAGGAACGGCATCTGCATTGGAAGAAGCAGTTAATGCAGCGCACTCTTGCTTGGAGCTCGACAAGACGCAGGTGCGCGGGTATCTACTGCTCACCGAGGCGCTCACCCGACTGCGCAGACACGAAGATGCCGTGGTGTGGTACAAGAAAGGTTTGCTTCCAATACTAAAATACTCTATTTGATCGTGAAATCTAATACCACTGCGTCGTATTGCGTGTTCGATAGGACTGAAGCTGCACCCCGACAATGCAGAGCTGCTGGCAGGATTGAAAGAAGCTCGTGTTGCAGTTCTGAACGACTTACTTGAAGATAGCGAAGAAGACGATGGTGAAGAAGGGATCTTAGCGACTCATGAACAATTGGAGCAGAGAAACACAAGCGAGATTTATATAGAGAGCCTACGTGGGGTACAAGCTACAACCGAGAGTGGCGCGCTCCGCTCTACGCAGATCGTACAGCGCGCACAAGTGTATGCTACTTCTGGTCTCGATGAGGTACTAACCAGTAACAGTAAGGATACTGCGGTACAAGATAGCAACGAGACGCAGACCACGGTGTTCCAAACCAAGATGGAACGGATCTTGGAACACCTAGACCTGTTGAAGCTCGCGAGGATGGCAGCAGTGTATATCTTCTCGGAGCTGTTGAGTCTACGGCGTGTAACAGTTGGAATTGGACTCTTCTTCCTCGGTTTGCTTGCGCAAGCGATAATGCATCGACAGAAGATAATGGTAATATCCATGCTAGTGATATGCTTGTATCGCTCGCAGCTCAAGGAACGAGCTTTACGGTATGCACAAGATTGGGTGCAAACGTCTCGCGACAAGTTGAGCGCATTCACGTGGATCCCGCGGATTGTTTTCGCAATCCCGATTTCCATGAAGGTGTTTGGACATCTGAAGTTTGTGCTGTTCTTGCAGAAAGATGCGCGTTTAGCAGGGCTCGTGCTTACGGTGACAGTAGCTTTGGTCGCCAACGCGCTGCGCCCTGACGCTGTCCAACAGGCCAAGCTATGGGGCGAAGGAAGGCGACTAAAGTTTGCTGCTTATTTCACGACAATCGCGTACTGGGTGGTTTGGCGTGGCCAATGGGCTGACATGATAAGGCTGCTCGGGCCAGCTTTCATTGATGCGGGTGGTATCGTTCTTGGCTCTGTTTCGTCATCCGAGATGCAGGAAGTTTGTCGACGCGCATTCAAAAGGCTCTACAATGATGTGGTGAATGATATACAAGCCGATATTGACCTCGACGCATGGTTCTTTTTGGGTTTGGGTAACTGGGTCGTTGAATATTGGCAGCAACCTACAGACTTTTCATTGGAAATGCTGACAAAGATGCTGACGGAGTGCTTTGAGTCAATGGAAAAAGCAGCAGTGCGGACATTTAGCCCTGAGTTGCGGCACTTGCGTAGCCAACTCAAGAATATGGAGATTACTGATGAGCTACAGCTGCTGGTTGCGTATTTGAAACAGAGTCTAGAAGCTGTTCCACCTCCGAAGCCGTTCGGTATGGCAGCGTTGTTCGCCAAAAAGTGTCCGTCGTTTGTGGTCTTCGCTCTTCTTGTCGTTTTCTACGGCGTCATTTCGCTGCCGTTATTACCGTTTGTTATGTCCGAGTCTCAAGGCGCAAGAGATTTGTATGCTCGCTACAGCACTGGAAGTCTGCAGGAAATGGATGGATTGGAGATTATACTGCTAGACTCACCACTCTTCCACGTCTGGACAAATATTAAGGGCTGCATTTACTGTCTAGAAGGCAGTGTCACGTTTTCAAAGGCTGTGGCTACCGGGACGCAAATTGTATCGGCAGCTGCAAGAATCAGGTATATCTTCTTGACCTCTCTCAACCACTTAGTAGTTTGTCTAACAGAATTTGTGTGGTCATTGCTAGCCGGCTGGCGACATTCGCATCTCGCGTAAAGAAAGAAGGTATTTTTGCGAATGCCCACGATATTCCGGACCATATCGCGAATGCGTTCCTAGTCACGAAAGACTCGAGGTATGGCATAACGTTGGCAACTTTTTATGGTAAAGATACGCTAATGCCGTCTATTGCTTGCCAGTCTGATCATTGATGGGGTGCGGTATCTCCGAGACAGCACTCACTTCCAGGATTTACAGGCTTCAATTGTCAATTGGTGGTCGGGAGGACAAGCGAAAGAAAACTAGTTAACGTTTTGCTTAGTTAGAAACATGTATTCGAGTCGAGATATCATTTCTATGTATGTACGGGAGGTGCGTGGGGCGGAGAGGGCAGGACCACCATGAAATACGTCTATGTTTGCGACTCCAGCAACTGCTGTTTGTTCTGTGGCTGCCGCTCTTGTGCTCTTGGCGTCGTTTTTCGTCTTGCCGACAGCCGTCGCTGGAGATAAAGAACATTGAGCTAGTTGAAACGACGCTTTTGGTTGAAGCGCTTCATCTCCAAGATAGCCGACGAAAGTGGCTGCTCGCTGTACTCGCCCTTTATCCAGGGGTGGTTGAGTGCCTGTGCTGCGCTGAAGCGCTCTTGTGGTGACACGTTGAGGAGGTTGCGGATCAGATCCTTGGCTGCTCGTATGTAATATGTAAACCCCATTAGATAAGTGTCGACATCACATGATTCGAGCAAAACAACACGTTATACCTCCGTCAGATACATTTGTCCAGTATGGGTGAGGGAAGTCCAGCACACCAGAGCGAATTTTGAGGTACACCGACTCCAGGCCATTTTCATCTTCCGAGAAAGGAGGGAATCCGCACAACCTGATACGCAGACAGAACTGTAAGTACCCGCATTATGTAGCACAAGACGCATTCAGCCACGTACATGATGTATAAGACAACGCCAAGACTCCACAGATCCACTTTGCTGTCGTAGCCTTCTCCGTTTAGAACCTCGGGAGCTGATCACAAGGAACAGAGTCACAGCCTCAAGCATCAGCAACTTGTCAATAGACAATTCCATTTCTCCTTCCCACTCACCAACATAGTAGTCCGTCCCGCAGCTTGTGTATGCACGACCACGAGAACGTGCACCGTCGTCTTCATCCTCGAGGATCTTGGCAATGCCAAAGTCGCTCAGTTTGACGTCACTGCTGTCACCGCTGGCAAGAAGGATGTTCTCTGGCTTAATGTCACGGTGCAGGATGTGGCACGAGTGGAGGTAGTTGAGCGCTTGGAGCACATTGGTGACGATCTCAGCTGCTTGCCGCTCCGAGTAAACACCGACCCGCACGATGCGGTCGAACAGCTCGCCGCCCGTGACTCTGCAGCATTAGAAGCACACGTTAGTCGTCAATTCACCAACAGCCAAGCTTGCTGCTAGCTGACCCACCTTTCCATGACGAGCAGCAGCTCCTGGTCGCTCTCATAAACCTCCTCGAGACTGATGATGTTGGCGTGTTTGACCCGGAGTAACACCGTGATCTCGTCGCGCAGTGTCTTCTTCTTAACACATAGTGCCTTGTTGATAACCTTGACAGCGAAGATCTGCTGAGTTTCTTTCCTCCGACAGAGGTACACGAGCGAGAAGGCGCCACGACCGATGAGGTCGCCCACGTCGTACAGCGAGTGGAACATGGCCACGCCGTGGACGTCTGTAAGTCCCTGGGTTACCAGGTTGTCCTCCTCTTTACGGAAGAAAGCCGAGAGTGGGGGAGCTGGTCAGCGGAAATGGCAACAGGCACACAAACACACACAAGAGGTTAAGTCTGAGAAGATGGCTACACTTCACTGAGCAGAGCCAATGGACGGACCTTTGAACGCCGCCATTTAGAGAAAGTTTGTAGGGGATGGAAGGACGTTGGACGGAGGACTCTTTGCTACGAAAGCTTATTTTTCTCTGTGTGTGTCGCCAAAGCTGCACGACGAGACAGCGAGGGCGCAGGCGCAGGCGAAGACGCGGAGCTGAGTACGATGGCGGCTTGAGTCGTCTGGCCGGATCTGCGACTCGAAGACTTCGAGTCGACGCTTTGTGTTCTCCTTTGTCCTTCGCTACTCCATGTGGCAGGTTCTCTGCACCTCGAACTTAGTCGCATATGAGACCGCCCATTGGCTGAAATCATGCCAGTCAACGATTCAGTGAGAAGCGAGCCATTTGGCCAGCATACTTGCCAGCAGGGCATGCGACGCCCAAGCAGCGCCCACCGCGGGGCCATAAGGCTCATCAAGTAGAGCAGACCACCAGTGTATTTACAGTAGTTAACCACCTGCACGCGGCCGGCTGCAGCGGATGGCACCACTAAAAACACAACCACCAATTTCTCATAATGCAAATGCACGGAAATGATCAACTTCAAGTTGGTATTGCAATTTTTCTTTCCTTGCGGCTCATTGCAACTTTTACATCGAAATATGCTGTCGAGTCCTCCTCTTCAAGGCTTCAATGCATGCCATGCGTGATCGTGATCAGCACGACCGAGACCACCGAGAACGCTAGCACCAAATAGAGCCACGCCTGGTGCGCGAATGGACTCGCAAAGCGGTTCTTGTTGCCGCGTGCTGCCGGAGTACCTGGACGCGTGGCGCCCACTTCCATCGGATGCATCTGCTTCCACTCCGACGCCAGGCGACGGCGCAGGCAGAAAACGAGGAACGTAGGGACGATCCACTGCAACAGCAACAAAGCACACAAGCACGTCGCGCAGTTGTGAGTACGTGTTCCCCTGAGAAAACACGCAAAGCCACAAGTTCAACGCAACACCAACCTGAATGCCCAAACCGGCGTACGCGCCTGTGAAGCCCACCAGCATGGACACATCCTCGGTGAAGAACGCCACTACAAGCGGCGGCAGAAGCGCCACCAGCGCGTACATGTTGGTTTCCAGGAACCCGTACAGCCCTCTCGATGGAGTGGCATCGCCCAGTGGCGCCGACTCGTTCATGCTCGACGCGAGGTAACGGATATTCTCACGGAGCGTGATGCAAATAAGCGGGAAGCTCGCACTGCAAGTGATCGGTTCGTTAGCATAGCGTTTTCACATGATGGATTGGACAATGGAAGACGCACCTTAGCGTGAACACTGGGAATAGACTCAGAAAGTATCCAAACGCTTGCACTGGGTAATTCTTGAAGTTGAGTGTGTACACATCCTAAGCAGAACGCAACAAAAGAGTCAACTATTACGATATACGTAACAACATTGCGACCGCGATCGAACCTCGATGTCCTCTGGCTGGAAACGGAATGTTGCCGACGCGCACAGCACGAAATAAACACTGAGGACCGCCTACATGTAGACACACAGCACCAAAGCGTGAACAATACCGCCAAAATTTAACAGCACGTGAAAAGGACACAAGTTTGCACAAACGTACCATGAAGGCCGACGCGAGAACCATGCCGACTTTCGATTTGTCCGTGATAGGTGCCACGAGACCCGGAACACTGCAGCACAAGTAAAATAAGATAAGTGTCAGTGCTCTTTTCGAGGCCATGAATGCTCAACGGCTGTGTACCTGTGGTGGCACATGAAGGAGTAGATGCATACACCGAAGAAAGTGGCAATGTTGGCCGGTTTTTCGTAGCTTACGACGTCAGCGACGCTCCGGCCGTGGCCGCGCGAGATCCCGATGATAGCCAGCACGATCATAAGCCCAAATGAAGCGTGACGAATGACTGTTGAAACGAGCTGGAGTGTGCGCGTCTTGTGCACGTGGCCGAACGTGAACGGCCCAAGAAGCAGACCGAAGAGCACAACAAAAAGGCGATACAAGTCCGAGCTGTTGAACTTGTCGGAGCACTCCCATACAACAGCATCCGCTGAAGGACGCGGGCAGATAATCTCACGCAGTGACTTGGGGACGGCTACGACATTCAGACGGCACAATATCTGTCAGTTTTTAGCAACAGCTTACCCACTCAGCAACAGCGAGCATACCAACAGCATAGATGGCCAAGTCACCGTACAGATACACAGTGATGCATGTATAGAACGCAATAATCCCTCGGTGGTTGAACAGCAGCTCTGCCATCTCGGCCAGCTCCATCTGCATATCACAAACACTAACTGAGCTCATCATTTACCGTCTCACAAGCTAAACAGCGTCCACATACCTTTTTAGACAGATCGAAGTGAAACCTCACATCGGTATTCTTCGCTCGCAACTTGCGCTCAAGTGCGTCATGCTTCTGCAGTATCAAACACACACATCAAACGGTGACGACATCGTCCACACATGAGATCTGCTGGCCATAGAATATGCAATAGTACTTGATTGGCGACCATTAGCGGCACAAATTCCGTTTGCGCGTCGCCGTCGTCGCTATCGCTGAGCTCGTCCACCGGCTGCTTTTCGTCCCCATTTGCAGCGTCCACTCCGAGTTCTCGTGCGCGTCGCTTGAGCGCGTTGACGCCCGCGATGGCCTCGATCATGAACGTGGCAGTCACGTAGCTGACTGACGCTAGGATGGACAGCGCAATGCACCCGTAAATGAGACCAACCTGAAGACATCAAGCAGTGAGATAGTGTTTTTGACTGGCATTTTGTTCATTGGATTCTCTCCTTACGTTGGCGAAAGCGTGCGGAATAGTGAGCGCTCCAGCGCCTACGATGAGGTTGAAGATGAACACGAAGCCCGTGAGGGGCGAGTAGCTGCCGATGCTCGGTCCGCCGCCCGCCATTCTCGTCTCTTGGTCCGCTGCGGAGCTGCTCGAGATCAGGTTCGTTGCCTTGATGGCGAGGTAGAGAATGCAGCTCGTACTTAGGGTTCCACTTAAGTACGATTCAATCCTTTCACTTCAACTTGTCGCAATGGCGATGGCGATGTTGCGTGCTCGGTTCTTGCTAACCAGCGGCCACTTGGTTGCCACCTGCCTCGTTAGAATGGAGGTGAAGGTCTTTAATGTGGGTTTGTCTCGTGTTGCTCGGCATTGACAGTTTGGCGTGGTTGCTGTTCCTAGACCGCTAGCATAGTGGCGTATCTATCGTTTGCCCTAGCAATCGGAAATCTATTCGCAGGGTTGGACGTCTACTCGCCGATAGTAGGTACAAGCAAGCTTAAAATGAGAGTGGGGTCTCTGTTCACGACACCTCCACATCGGTGTATACAGAAGAATGCTGTGCATATTTTCTGCCACTTCGTTGGGGGCGTATGTGTATGCCAAATGATTCTACACGACTTGGACCCGGCGCGATACCTGTGGTAAGAATTGTAGGTTGTCTATCTACATGCATCACGATACGGGACGTGTAATACTTTGTGCTCTTATGGCCACAGGTATGTGGTGTTGCTGACTCACCTGCCAAGTTCGCTGTGTATTCTAGACACCACCGCACAGCGCTTCCTCTTCAAAACTGCGCAGCATCCATACTAAACGCTACAACTAAAGACAGAGCAAGTGCGGATTTTGCTTTCAGTGTGACTAAGTGTTATTATAAAAAAGAGCAATACTTCACACTACTGCGAGGCATCTGTATCCCTTCAATTCGGTCCTGGAACTCAGTCAAGTGCGAGTCGCTTAGGCGTTGGTCTTCTTCATCAGGTTCAGCGCGCTGCCGTTCTTGAACCAAGCGATCTGCTCCTCGTTAAACGTGTGGTTCACCGTGATGCCAAACGGAGCCTCACCCGAGGCAGGGGTCACACGCAGAGTCAGGGGCTTGCCAGGCGCGAAAGTCTGCAGGCCCAGGATATCCACCTTGTCGTTGCCCGTGATCTTGTCGTAGTCCGCCGGGTTCGCGAACGTCAGCGGCAGCATACCCTGCTTCTTCAGGTTGGTCTCGTGAATACGCGCGAACGACTTGACGATCACAGCACGGCCACCAAGGTGACGCGGCTCCAGAGCGGCGTGCTCGCGAGAGCTGCCCTCACCGTAGTTCTCGTCACCGATCACAACCCAACTGACACCGTCGGCCTTATACTGGCGGGCCACAGCAGGCACCTTGTCGAACTTGCCCGTGAACTGGTTCTTGATGCTGTTCGTCTCACCGGTCTCAGCGTTCTCAGCACCGATCAGCAGGTTGTTCGAGATGTTGTCCAGATGGCCACGGTACTTGAGCCACGGGCCGGCCATACTGATGTGGTCGGTGGTGCATTTGCCCTTAGCCTTGATCAGCACGGGCATGTTCTTCAGGTCCTCACCGTTCCACTCGTCGAAGGCCGACAGCAGGGCCAGACGCTCGCTCTTGGGGTCAACGTTTACAGTCAGACCCTCGCCGCTAGTAGGCGGGGCCTGGAACGTCTCCTCACCAGGGTCGAAGCCACGCGGCGGCAGCTCCTTGCCGAACGGGGCAGCGAACTTGAAGTCCTTTCCATCCGGGGTCTTGATCGTGTCCTTAGCAGGGTCGAACGTGGTAATACCAGCAATAGCGCTCACGGTCACCATCTCGGGGGACGTAACGAAGCTGTGCGTGGCCGGGTTGCCATCAGCGCGCTTGGCGAAATTACGGTTGTACGAAGTGAAGATCGAGTTCTTCTGTCCCATGGGCATGTCGGTACGGTTCCACTGACCAATGCACGGGCCGCAAGCGTTGGCAAGGACCGTAGCACCGGAATCCAGGAACGTGTCCAGGATGCCGTCGCGGGCGATGGTGGCGCGCACCTGCTCCGAACCGGGAGTCACGTAGTACGGCACCTTGAACTTGAGACCAGCCTCCTTGGCCTGCTTGGCCAGGTCCGCGCAGCGGGTCATGTCCTCGTAACTGGAGTTCGTGCACGAACCGATCAGACCAGCACTCAGTTCCATGGGCCAGCCGTTCTTCTCAGAAGCCTCCTTCATGTCGGCACCAGCGACGTGGCCAAGGTCCGGCGTGAATGGACCGTTCAGCATCGGCTTGAGCTCGTCGAGGTTAATCTCAATGATCTGGTCGTAGTGAGCGCCCTCGTCAGCACGCAGGTTGGCCTTGAACGACTCAGCAGCCGAGGCAATGCCACTACGCTTGGTGGAGCGCAGGTAGTCGCCCATACGGTCCGTGTAGGGGAACGTGGAGCACGTGGCGCCAATCTCAGCACCCATGTTACAGATCGTGCCCATACCCGTGCACGAGATGGACTCGACACCGGGGCCGAAGTACTCGACAATGGCACCAGTTCCACCCTTGACAGTCAAGATGTCAGCCACCTTAAGGATCACATCCTTGGGCGACGTCCAGCCCGACAGCTTGCCCGTCAGGTTCACACCAATGACCTTGGGGGCCTTGAGCTCCCAGGCCATGCCAGCCATCACGTCGACGGCATCGGCACCGCCCACACCGACAGCGCACATGCCCAGGCCACCAGCGTTGGGGGTGTGCGAGTCCGTTCCGATCATCAGACCTCCGGGGAAGGCGTAGTTCTCCAGCACGATCTGGTGAATGATACCGCTGCCAGGCTTCCAGAAGCCCATGCCGAACTTGGCACCAGCCGACGACAGGAAGTCGTACACCTCCTTGTTGACGATGTTGGCGTTGGCAAGATCCGAGTCCGAGCCCTTCTCCGCCGTGATCAAGTGGTCACAGTGGATCGTCGTGGGCACGGCGGTCTTGGGCAGACCCGACGAGATGAACTGCAGCACAGCCATCTGGGCCGTGGCGTCCTGCATGGCGACGCGGTCCGGGCGCAGCTTGAGGTACGTCTCACCACGCTTGGCCTTCGTGGTGGCGTCGTCCAAGTGGCCGTAGATGATCTTCTCGGCGAGGGTCAGCGGCTTGTTGCCGTTGGTCTTGCGCACCGTAAAGAGGTTCTTCTCCATCTTCTCGTAGGTCTGGTCGATTGTGGGGCTGCCCTTGGGGTCCAGCACGGACAGAGGCACAGGCACGCCGCAGCTAGACGACATGCTGGCCTAGGGAGGATCACATGGCATAGACCACCGAATTGTCAGACCTAGAATTTGTTTAACATGTATGCAGGGGCGTGGACTGTCTACCGCAGCCGCTAAAGCTCACTCGGAACGCACCTTCATGGCCGTAGAGCGCAGCGACTGACGCGCGGCGCGCGTGGTCGTGGAAACGGCGTACATGATGCAGGGACGACTGAGCTTTCGGCGTCCGTTCCGCTTGCGAGGAGATCCCAAAATGGGGTGGTCCAGGGCAGATTCCCACGTTGCAAGGATCGATCACCCGTAAATTACCGATAAATTACGGAGATGTAGACGTCGCCCCTCCCGATTACTGCTTTTATATCGATACGAAATACACGTCTTCTCTTTGTTCTGGGTTTTTGTATGTGCAGCAATCTCAGCCCCCCGTTTAACGTCGGGGCGAAAAAAGGACTTTAAAGTCTCTTCGTTCTGGTGGTCTGCCCCATGCACGTGGCGATCTTAGCGGCATTTTGCCTTGCGTTTACAGTGAAGGATGCACCTCTTATCACGATGTCCACGGTGAAGCGTCGGCGCTTGCGTTTTGTAGTACATGTATAAACACTTCCATGGTTACGTCTTTTGAAGTTCAGGTCCAGCGAGGGCGAGTCATAGCTTCGCATTGCGAAATGGGTCCCATATTGTGCCCATTTGCTTACAGAGCGAAGCCCGTGCCATGTTCCAGGTGTACACACTGGTAATCATTCCTGGCGTCCTAACATGGTGAGCCAAGTTGGCAACCATTCCACGCGTACGAGTATTTTGATACATGCCTAGCTTAGAGATAACCGAGCAATTCTGCTCTGGACCCAGTTCGCTCATGCGCAAGTAAGTAAGGTAACATTAAAAGAGCTCAATGATTGAGCTGCAATTTAAATAGATTAACATTGCCAAGATCTCGTCGTTGTGATTCGATACATGTAATGAGCGCAGGCGTGAAGTTGAGTTGGCTAATATTACATGTAGATTTATCTTACCATAAAGCAGCAAATAATACTTCACGTAGCAAAACATGCAGAACGCAGCAATTCATAGCACTGAATCAGTTTTGTCGTGGCCATGTCAAACCAGAGTAACTGTATTTCCTCTTGCGGCTAAGCGTGGCAGGCAACTTTAGTTCGCGTCAATCACCATTTCCACCGAGCTCAACGCGGCAAATCCGAAGTAGAATACGCCATCACTTCTCAACCAGAACACCAAGAACAGCGACATTGATTGCAGTCTAACCAACAATACATCCGTAAACAGACTAATAAATGCCGTGGTCAACTCTGTGGAATCATAGGCCGCGAACGCTCTCGACGCGAGCGACTACATGTCCGATACTTGTGTTGGCGCTGTCGTTAGGCTTTGATAAGTTGTTCCAGTGGTGGGGATGCTCCAGGAGCACGGATGCGCAATTCTTGTCGAATGGGCATGAAAAAGTGCCCAACTGATACCTGATCACAAAGGGTGTCAAGCTGAAGCGCAATGATGCATTGACACTTCGATGTGGCCACATGGTGCAATTTATTCGCGCTTGGATTGGTCCAAGGCTCGCCTAGAATCTGGCTTCGAGTTGTCGCAAACTTTAAACTGCAATTGGCCCAGCCTCGTCCAGTGGATATCCAGTTTTCCAGGAGTGGCTGTTCGGCGCAACTGGCGATTCATGTAATTTATTTCCGCTTCAACCTTAACCCCCTTTGCGCAAGTACGTCAGCTTTCTTCTCGTGCTTCATTGCGACGGAGCTGATGTACCCGAGCGGACTGACCAACGGAGAGCACCCCGAGCAGCTCGAATGCACCCAAGGCCAAAAACGAGTGCTAACAATCGGCTTGCGTGGCTTAGGCGACATTTGCTGCTAGCTGCGACGCAGCAGGCGAAGGTGGAGGTCGCAATTTACGCATGTGCTGGGCTGACGAGATACAAGTATTTGTGATCCTCGCACGAGGTTCCAGCACAATTGCTCGCTATACCTGCGGGCTGTACTAGCAAGCGGCCTACCGAAATGGTGACTCCTATGGAATTATTTTGCGCTCTATACGCCAATGGCGACGAGCGTTCACTCCGGATTTCTGCTTCGGACCGCAACTGAATGCTGCTCACCACACCAGCAAAATCGGGCGGTATTTTGTCTATATGAGCGTGAGTTGGTGGCTTGCTGCTCGTAGCTTAGATCACTGTTACGTACAGACGTCGCGTGGGTACTTGACGGGGCGAGAATTTGGTTCGGTGCGAACTGCGATCATTGCAGACTAGGAGCACAGTCCTGGAACGGAGCACCGTCGGGGCTTCAGACGGACAAGGCCTACGATTTCAACGACTTGCTTGAAGTCGAATATGAGCTGCTCACTGGCGGTGCAGAGCCGCCTCAGTTACCCTGATGATGCCGTGTACTCTTTACTCCCTAGCGCAACGCCCGACTGGGTCAATGTCGGTATATCTGAAAAGCATTGTGTGCACATAGGTGCATGATGGCTTGTGCGAAGCATTCCTTTAGGGTTGGTTTTGCATGACTATGGCAACATGACAGGAGTACATACAAACTTTCAGTGAACGCGGAATCACGAAATCGTACTTAATTGTCATCATCACTGTACTTCCATCATACTGCAAACTTTGCCGATCAAAAGGCAAGCAGCAACCTGCTAAAGCAACCAACACATTCCTTTGCCTCTCGGTTGGCCATGCACATTAAGCAGGTAGTGGTGTGCGGTTTCCGCAGCTATAAGGACCAGGTGGCAGTGGATCCCTTCAGCAACCAACACAATGTGGTGATTGGTCGCAACGGCACTGGCAAGTCCAACTTCTTCGACGCCATCCGCTTCGGGCTACTCACGTCTCGCTTCGCCAACCTGCGGCCGGACGAGCGTCAGGCGTTGCTGCACGAGGGATCAGGCAAGCACGTCATGTCGGCGTACGTGGAGATCGTCTTTGACAATAGCGACGGACGCCTGCCCGTGGACGACACGGAAGTGACTCTGAGACGCACCATTGGCGTCAAGAAAGACGAGTTTTTCCTTAACCGCAAACACATAACCAAGAGCGACGTGGTGCATCTACTGGAGAGCGCGGGTTTCTCACGCTCCAACCCGTATTACATTGTGCAGCAGGGCAAGGTCAACGCCCTGGCCGTCATGCGCGAGCGCGAGCGACTGGAACTGCTCAAGGAGGTGGCAGGCACTAAAGTGTACGAGGACCAACGAGTCAAGTCACTTAAGATTTTACAAGAAACACAGACCCAACGAGAAAAGATCCAGGAGGTCGTGAGTTATATTGAAGAGAGACTAGCAGAGCTGGAGGAGGAGAAAGAGGAACTTAAAGAGTACCAACAATTAGACAGAGAACAGCGTGCTCTGGAGTACACGATGCACGAGAAGGAGCTGCAGAATGTGCGAGCAGAGATCGAAGCACTGGACAAACAGAGACAAGAGGAGAGCGCCAGGTCCACGGATCTACACGAGAAGCTCTTGCACGTCCGAACGGAGATCAGTCGGATTGAAAGTGACCATCAGAGGAAAGAGCAAGATCTGGCACAGCTTATGGAGGAGCAGAAGAGCCAGGAGGACGAGCGGAAAGGACTGATGGAAGCTCGATACAAGCTGGAGATGGAGGTGCAAGAACTGAAGGAGCAGATCCGCTCTGATGCTGAGCAGCGGTCGACTGTATCCAAGGAGGCGGAAGTGGTGAAGCACGAGATTGAAGCCAAGCGAGCTCAGCTGAATAATGAGATTCTTCCTGCACTTCGACAGGCTGAGCAAGCGCATGACCAAGTAGCCCGAAATGTGCAAGAGTGCAGAGCGCAGTCGGAGCATCTGATCGCCAAGCAAAGCCGCAAAAGTCAGTTCCGTACTCAGCAAGAGCGTGACGATTATCTGCAGCGTGAGATCAGTGACATTGAGAGCTTGGTGCGTCGAAAAGAAGGCGACACGGGGTCGTTGAGGAACTCTATTGAGGGTCTGGAGAAGTCTATTGAAGGGTCTGAGCGGACACTCGACCAGCACATTGAAGAGCTACGTGAACACCGCCGCCGAGTGGATGCAGTCGGAGCAGAAGTGCGGCGTCTAAAGGAGCAGCGCAACTATCTGAGTGAAGAGCGCAAGGCAAAGTGGCGCGAGGAGAACCAGATTTCGTACGAATTGCGCGAGCTGAAGAAGAAAGTGAGCGAGGGAGAGAATGCGTTGCAGAGCACAATGGCGTATGACGTCCGCCGCGGTCTACAGGCAGTCCGGGAGATGCAAGATCGGATCCGAGGAGTTTATGGACCGCTGATCGATCTCGTGCGACCTGTTGATGAGCGTTATTGTATCGCAGCGGATGAAGCCGCTGGTGGTGCGCTTTTCCACGTTGTCGTAGACACGGATGACACGGCGACACGGATTATGGGGGAGCTGGACAAGAAGAACCTGGGCCGACTTACTTTTTTGCCCCTCAATCGCCTGAAAGTGAAGGATCACTTCGACTATCCTCGAAATGACGACGTTGTCGCGCTGGTGGAGAAGCTGGAATATCCTGCCGAGATTCGCAGAGCTGTTATGGCAGCCTTTGCTAAGAAATTACTGTGTCGGGACTTGGACACGTGCGTTAGGTATGCAGAGCAGACAAACATGGACTGCTTGACGTTGGACGGTGATATGGTTCACCGTCGTGGTGCTCTGAACGGTGGCTTTAAAGACCCTCGTCGATCTCGGACCCGAGCGATGATGGAGGTGAAGCAGGCGCAAGTGGATCTAGAGAGAGTGGCTGAAAGAGCTCGAAGAGTGACAGCAGAGTCTCAGCAAGCAGATCAGCGAGTGACCAGCATTATCAGCGATATCCAGAAACTCGAGGCTGAAAAGAACCGTGCCATTTCCGCTCATGAACGCTTGTACGACGACATATCTCGACGAAAGAATCATATTCGCACTGAGAAAGAAAATTTGGCTCAGAGAGAGCGAAGCTGCGAGCTTCAGGAACGAGAGGTGAAGGAGCTTGTCGCGAAGGTTACGGCGCTTCGTTCGGAGCTTCTTACTCCCATGCAAGACTCCTTGACAGCTGACGAACACCAATTGCTACACTCCTTATCTACCAATATTTCCCTGCTGGAAGCTGAAGAACGAGATCAACGACAGCGCCTTGAAGAAATACGCTCGGAGAAGGAGAACATCAAGACGGTGTTGGAAGAAAACCTTATTCGCCGTGAGAATGAACTAGCGCGACAACTTGGAGAGGGTATTGAGGAGCTGGCAATTTGTGAGCGAGAGGAAAATCTCAAGGCGAAGCAAATCGACTTGGACGATGCCTCGCGTCTGGTGGATGACAACTCGTCGTCGCTGAAAGAGCTTGAGCAAAAGATCGAGGCGTTGCAGGAGGAAATCGCAAATGAGAAAGCCCAGGTGGATGCTTTGAACGGAGAAGATGTGTCACTGAGCGACCAGATGCAGCAGGAGGCTCGGGAAGCAGAAAAGATTTTGAGTAAGCACCGGCGTTTGGTCAAGAAGCGCGAGGATGCAACGCGAGATATTCGCGAGCTAGGAACGCTGCCAATTTCTGAGCTCGAGAAGTTTAAGACGCTGCCGTACTCAGACGTGATCAAGCAGTTCAAGCACCGGAATGAAAAGTTGAAGAAGTACAACCACGTGAATAAGAAGGCGTTGGATCAATTTATGAGTTTCAACGAGCAGCGTACGACGCTTTTGGAGCGGAAGCAGGAGATTGACGACGCCTACAACTCGATCAAGGACCTGATCGATGTGCTGGATAAGCGTAAAGATGAAGCCATCTTCCGTACGTTCAAAGGCGTAGCAGGCTATTTCTCTGAAGTATTCCGTGAGCTGGTACCAACGGGCGAAGGCAAGATGATTCTGGTTGGTGCTGACACTAGCCAGAATGGCACGGCGAATGGAGGCGATGCGTCAGTGGAGTCGAATGTTGACACGTACTCTGGAGTGCAGATTAAGGTGAACTTCCGAGGAGAGGGTGACTCTTATTTGATGCAGCAGCTCTCCGGTGGCCAGAAAGCATTGGTGGCTCTCGCCTTCATCTTTGCGATCCAGCGAGTGGACCCAGCTCCTTTTTATTTATTTGACGAGATCGACCAAGCGTTGGACTCCACTCATCGAGCTGCTGTCGCAACCTTGATTCACCGCCAAGCGCACTCAAAAGATAACCCGGCACAGGTACGCGCCAATGTTCTTTGAGTGTTCCGCTTCTTATCGTGCTAATGGGTTTGTGTGGTGTATTTTTTTTTGCAGTTCATCACGTCAACTTTCCGTCCCGAGTTGGTGAATATCGCTGACAAGTTTTACGGAATCGGCCACCAGAACAAGATCAGCAACGTCTATCCAATGACGAAGGAGGAATCTCTCGACTTCATCTCCAATATCATGACGGAGGAAGAGGGCGTGGCGGGAATGTAAGCGTCTTTACTGTCAGGCTGTCGTCTTTTTTTCCTTTTAATATCTGGTTGCAGCAGTTTTGAGTCAGTGACAAGTTCGACGGCAACCTCTATTCTATCAAGTATCGTAAGCGTCTAATAAGAAAGTGTCGTTCCACTAGTCTTTCGCCGATCGAACCCGCTTGCCAGACTTGCGTAGACCCAGTGCGTCGCGCTCGTCGGCCTGCTTCGACTTGAAGGCTAGCTTGAGGCTCTCGAGTTTCTTCTCCGTCACAGGCCACTTGTTGCAAGCCTTGGAGTTCTGCCAGAAGAACACACTCGTGTCGAACGATGCAATGCGCCAGCGGGTCTTCCGGATCTGCTGCTTGCCCTCGCAGTAGCCATGCTGCTTCTGCGGGATGAGGAGGTGCCTTTGATTAAAACGACTCGCGTTCAGTTGTTGCCAACCCTGTGAACCAGCATAACGCACATCATCAGTAATCCCGCAGTAAAATATCAACGCAGATGGCTCAAAGAATCGGTACCTCAGTCTCTTGCCAAGCGGGGATGATGACGATAAACGCCAAGGGTCCATCGGCTGCATTGAGAAGAGCGGTCATGTGATCGGCCATGCGTTTGATCACCTTGGGGATAAATGGTGGGTTGGCTTCAAAGCAACTACATACAAAAAGCCATACGACAGTAAGTATATGTGCTAGCAGACGGAAGCAAGCTACTGCGTACCCAGATCGAGGTGAGAAGTCGAAGAAGCTGCCCACGCTTCCAAACGCGAAATCTGTGTCAAGGAAGGCACTGCAAAAGCGCGAGTAGCGGCAGTTCAGTGGTGACGCAAAGCACTCCATCTTGCAGTCGAATTCCTTCAGTAGCATATCGAAGCACTCTTCGTTCAGTGCAGCCTACAATAGCACGGTCATTAGGATCCTCTATACTCGCGCACACCAAAGTGTCCTCTCCTTACCTGGAAACCTCCTCCATCCAGCGAGTCATATCGTAGGAGTAAGCAGAACAGCGCGCTCTCAAACTGGCGTTGGACTTCGAGGGCCATGTTTGACCCGTCGCCGCCCAATCCCTGCTTCCTTGCGAACATTTCACGTAGCTTGGCGAAATGGTCCGCACTTAGCTTCACCGTCAAGTGGCCGTACGTCAATTGGCGCATACCGTCCTCCATCACTGTCACTTGAACCTTCTTCTTTTTTCCAGCTACAAAGTCCTGCTGACCGAATTTGCGCAGCATTCGCTCGGATTCGCGTGTCAGCTCCTTGCACTTCTTGGTGGCTCCCGACTTGGTGGCCCCAGCTTTGCGAAACTCCTCAAACAAGCCGCTGTAGTCACTGCCAGCGTGAGGGATCAGCGGGTCGTGCTCCTTGACTGTGAGCTGCGACGTGAACTGCCACGTCTCGTAGGCCGAGTTGGGCAGCTTCCCGATTCCCAGGTCCTCGCTGGCTCGACGGATTTTATTGCACAATGCACGCACTGTCTGCTGGCGCGCGATCTCCATCGCTGGGTTGACGGGGCGCGTTCTGGCAGCGTCTTCGAGTTTGCGCAGCACAGTGGAGGACAGTGGCATTTCCTCCAGCGGGTTCCAGATGCCCGACGGAGGTGTCGATGACGGCTCACGTTCGCGTTTCTTTTGGGCTGAAGAAGACGAAGATGCATGACTTATTGGTGGAACAACAGCAGGCGGCGGCGGTGCATTGCCTGTAGCCGCAGCCATGGACGCCAGGATGTCTTCCAGTGGGTCTGCCATCTATCCGACACCACCAACACTCCGTAGTGACATGGCACTAAATTGACATCGGTATCTTGAAGGGGAGTGAGTAGTGCACCCAACTGAGTGTCGTAAATCGCGACCAGATTTTGCCCTATCCGCATCGACCTAGATTTTCAATATCCGTCAGCCATGTATACGTGTATACCCTTGCCAACTGCCATTTCGACAGCGAGAGGGGGAAACAAAGGTATCAGTATGGAGGCAACGACCGCAGGCCGCTGCACGGCAAATGAGGGTGGCCCTAGATACGTGGAAAGCTTGCCGAGCGAGCACTCCGACCCTTCGTCTACCTTTTGCAGCGATGAGGAGTGGGTCGTCTCGACCGATGAGTCGTCGAGCACATCCAGCACAGTGCATACGGATTCGATTGACTGCACGCAGCAAACTACGGAAGCGCCACCCCTTCAGAGAACTCAATTTGAATCTTGGGATGACCTGGAGGACTATCTGCAAAAGTACTCGAAGGACACGTATCAGGTACACTGACAGTATTTCTAACCGTGCCTTACTTGATATAGACACTGATACATTGTTGTTATCGTGTCGAATATTGTTTTAGAGTGCGGACAAACAACAAAGTTGGGGTGCGGAACAAGAAAATTCGAGCTGCCTCCAGTTCGACGCAGCCGGTTCTGCCGGACAAGTGGATTTACTACGGTAAGACATTCGTTTGTACACATGATGGCAAGTACAAGTCGAGAGGACAGGGGAAAAGGAAGCGCCAACAGTCCAGGGCAATCGAGTGCGATGTCCAGGTGCAACATATCTATGGTTTTGGTTTGGGTATTAGTTGGGTATCAGTTGGACTAGCAATTATATGTTGTGTGCGTGAAGATCAACGCTTGCGTGCAAGTTGTTGACGCAGCGGCTCCTACGTTTGCGCTGCGGATTACGTCGGCGCGCTTGAAGCATAATCACCCCCTCAACAAACACATATTTGAACAGTACCCACAGGTCCGAACAGCTCTGGGGCCAGAGGTTGTCGGGACGGTGAGTGAGCTGTTGAAGGCTGGTGCCAAGAAGAAGCAGATATTACAGTATATTTACGAGAAGTCCAGCTGCGCCCCAACCACCCAAGATGTTCATAACCTTGTAAGGAAACTCAAGTACCAGAATAATGCTGCATCGACGAGTGCTAAACGGTTAAAGCACTGGATGCACGAATTTACGCAGGAGCCAGGAAATGTTGGTCGAATCTTCGTGGACTCAGTTCACAAAAAGGTGTAAGTCTTTATTTCGTGTTTAACTCGATGGTCTTTAACCGGTGTTATTCGTAGACTATTGCGACGTGTATCACTATGCAGACGGCACATATGCGGGAGCTCTTTGACAGATTTCCGGAGGTACTCATGATCGACGCAACCCACGGGACAAATGCATCAAAGTACAAGGTGTTCTCTATTATGGCTCATGATGCTTTTGGCAAGGCCAATTTGTTCAACACGCAGTCGTCCAAAACGAACGGGCTGCTACTCTGCTGACCGCCCTGGAGGAGTTCAAGAAGAATAACGTTAAGTGGTCACATATCAAGTGTATCGTTATTGATAAGGACTTTACCGAGATGGGGGGG